GAAAATTTACTATTTATAATATGTAAAAAGAACTTTTTTACCTGGCAGTACCATAAAGAACCATGAGAGATCCTTCTGGCATTGGGAGTCTTACAACAATATCTTCAATACTTTTAGTTTTATTCCTTTTATCAAAATTTAGGTCTTTGTACACTGTAGAATATTCTGCAACACTTTCCAAATTGTATTTCGTAACTGGACCATGGTAAGGAGTCATTGTTAAGACAGAGTTACCCATAACATTTACAGTAACTATTCTTTCACCCCAAATCCAGCAATCATCAATATGTGGATCTATTGAAGCTCCTCTTATTGGATTATATTCTAAAGTACATTGCTCTACCGTTTGAAAAGTTTTGAGAATAGGATCTTCAGAAAATTTTTGTTGTACAAATTGAGTGGACTTTGGAAATCCATTGAAGGGACCCAATTGAAGTTTTTTCTTCTTGAAATTGCACTTTGGACCAAAATTCTAAATTTTTTAAATTATTTAATCAGTCTATATTTTATTTGTACAATATTTGTATTTATCAAATAATCTTTATCTTAGTAATATTTTTAAATTATATCATTTTATTAATATTTCAAATAATTAATATACTTGAATTATTTAATACAAAAATACCTGTTTCCTTCTTCCACTCTGAGAAACTTCCCAAGGTATTTCCTCAAGTGCTTTCACCAATGTCTTAATTTCATAATGATTCAGAAATTCTAGCTATTTGTGCAAAAGAAAAATGAGGGTTAAATTCTACTATGCATGATTATACCAAAATAAATTAAAATTACTTGCCTAAAAATATAGTATTTCAAAAAAGTGGTTATTAAATTTGTGAGTGTCAATATAGAAACTTATCATTACATTTTATACATTACTGATGCTATTAACAAATTTTCAAAGACAATTTTCATGAAAACAAAGCTACTCATCTTTTCCTTTTGTAACAATAATTTATTTTGTACAATTTGTTGTGCTGTCTTTTGTAAACTAACATAAAGAATAAAGTCAATTATAAACACTAATAAAAGTTTCATAAGGAACACTTACAAACAAATAAATACCTTTATACAAACACCTGGAAATTCTATGGCGGGTCCTTTTTGTTCTGGATGACTTTTATATAGGTCCACATCCCATCCAGGCCATAATTTGTCACAATATGGACAGTATACATAACTGGAATATTTCTGAAATAAGAAATAATTATAAACCAGGACAATTAAAACAACATGAATCAAAAATATAAAGTCTTGCAAATTTTTATACCTAAAGAAATAAATGAGTTATAGGCACCTGTTTTAAGTACTTTAAATTTGCTAAATAACATTCTAACTTGTATTACATATTTGATATTTTTAAGAACATTAACATTTACAGTACTA